CGGAGAAGGAGGACGTAGTGCTGGTGTTTGCCAACGGGCCGGAGATACGCGGCCTCGACCTGCAGAAGAAGGAGGAGTTCGACGTGATTGCGTCGGAAAAGCGCATTGAAGCGCTCGACTACGACGCCCAGCAGCAGATTGTGTTCTGGGCGGATAGCTACGACAAGACCATCAAGCGGTCCTACATGGTGAACGCGCTGGACGGCCAGGCGAAGATCGGCTTTGCCCAGGATCTCAACATGAAGGGCGGCTCCAAGCCCACGGCCGTGGCGGTCGACTGGCTGGCCTCAAATCTCTACTGGGCCGAGGTGGATCGCACCGGATCGAAGCCGCGCGGTCGCGTCATGGTGGCCAAAACGGATGGCCGCTATCGCCGATCCATTGTGAATGCCGGCTTGGAGGTGCCCACGTCGATTGCAGTGAATCCGCAGCTTGGACGCATCTACTGGGCCGATGCGGGCTCCGCGCCCAAGATCGAGGTCTCCTGGATGGATGGCTCCAAGCGACGGCCGCTAATCACAGAGCAAATCCGTCATCCCGCTGGCCTCACCATTGACTACTCGCAGGACCACATCATCTACTGGGTGGACACCAAGCTCAACACGATCGAGTCGATGCGTGCCGACGGCTCGCGCCGCAAGTCCATTGTCAAGGGCGACCAGTTGCGTCATCCCGTCGCCCTGGATCTGTTCGAGTCGAGCATGTTCTGGGTGACGCGCGACACGGGTGAGCTGCTGCGCCAGGACAAGTTCGGTCGCGGCGTGCAGGTGGTGGTGCACCGCAACCTTGTCAATCCGTCCGGCCTGAAGGTCTACCACGAGAAGCGCTACAACACCTCGCTGCGAAATCCGTGCTACGAGTCCAGCTGCTCGCATCTCTGCCTCCTGGTGCCCGGCGGCCATCGGTGCGCCTGCCCCGACACCTCTGGCGCGCTGCCCTCGCACCGCAGCACCGCCGAGGTCATTTGCGATGCGGCCGCCGAGCGGCCACGACCCGCGCCCCGCATCTGCCCCTGCCAGAACGGCGGCCTCTGCAAGGAGGACGACCGCGGCGAGCTCTACTGCGAATGCCTGCCGGACTTCAAGGGCGACCACTGCGAGCGCAGCACCACCGGCGCCTTCGGCCATGGCGGCGCCAACGTCACAGCCGTCGTGGTGCCCATCATGGTCATACTTCTGGTCATGATGGCCGCCGTCGGCGCCTGGTATGTCATCCGCAAGCGTCCATTGTAAGTAGAGCCAATTTCTCTTCTGATTTACAATATTCCCATACCGAGCCCATTGCACAGTGGTTAAAATAGTGAAACTCTTGGCAGAAATCCACGTTAGTCCAACAGACTTTTACTCCTATAATTGCTAGACACAAATTTTACAAAGAAGGAATGAATGAATTACTGAAGCCCATAGCATACCAAACATAATGGGATATTTCCACTATAATTTACCTAAATTCATTTATATTGAGGTTAGGAGGAATATTAAAAGAATACTAAATTATAGAGTAAAGCTTGTGATTTACTGAAATATTTGAAGTAATTAAGATATACAGGGCTGTGCACATTCGATGGACCCATCTGGCAACCCTATATGGCTGCCCATTTTCGACAGAACCATATGTTATGTATTTCAAATGAAAGGAAAACACAATTATTTTGATATTGATGATCATAATCAATTGATTTGGTTCAAGTAGACTTGTTGACTTCAGTTCTTTGATTATGATATCTCTCAAATGACCGCCTTGAGCCAGTACGGCGTATTCTAGCCCTTCTCTGTCAAAAGATATAGGGCTGCCGAATGGGTCCGTCGCATATGGACAGCCCTACAAATACTTTAATGAAAGTCAAGTGTTCAGTTGGCTTTCCAATTCAACTGTACCATAGCTATCTTTAACTACCCAAAATTGGGAAGAAAGAAATTAATTAAAAAGAATTTAGTTGAATTTCTGCTAAAATTTTTGTCTCTCTGACCACTGTGCATTGACAATTTGCACGCTTAACCCTAAGAGTTCATAGTCCAGGGTATTTCCTAGTCGGCACCTTTCTTGCACTTGACATTTTCACAACTTTTGCTTTTTATTTGAACAGCGGCAAGCTGGCGCGCATGCCCGCCATGACCTCGTCCCAGAGCGTAACCTTCCGGCACGGCTCCAACGTGGAGTTCAGCGAGAGCGGCTTCCCGGGTGCCTCAGCGCCAGGTGCCAACGACATGGCGCCCATTGAGGGCTACAACCTGCAGACCGTGAATGCCAACAAGGCGCGCGACTTTGCCAATCCCATGTACGATGCCGTGCAGCTGGGCACCAGCTCCGATCCGGGCATGAGCAATGGCTCAGGTAATGCAGAGGCGACAGAGGCGACTCCTCCTCCGTGTAACAATTGAGCTAATGCAATCTCTTTTCCGACAGGCATTTACGATGTGCCACAGGAACCGTCCAAGTCAAAGGCCATGGGCCACTCCGGCTCCTTCACGGAGCCCGCCTCGGCCATCATAGCGCCGAGCAGCATCACGCACAAGTCATCGCCGCAGCTGCAGCTGCGCACGCGCGAGCTGGACCCATCGGCAGACACCGGCAAGGATACCCAGTACCTGGTGGAGGAGGATAAGTCAGAGTGCTGATATAAAGCTAATCAGGTCGTGGTTGCGCTGCCGTTGCCGCTCAGCTGTCGGCGTCAGCAGCGGACGCAGCCGCGGCCCAACAGTTATCCGCTACACGCATAGCACCGACCCAACCAATACCAATACAAGCAACTGCAACAACAACAACAACAGCAACACGAACATCGCCAGCAAAAGCATCAACCAGATCAACTGAAGCCACGACAACAACAACAACAACAACAGGAACAGAGGAAACATCACAAATCTTGGCATGCCGCCTCCAGCGAGAGCAGCACAAAACTAACCACAAAAGTCTAAAACTATCTAGATCTATATTTGATATATGTCTATATATCTGACGGACATCGACAACAACAACAACAACAGCTACAACGTGGCCAAAGGATCACCTGTCCCAATTGAGTCACGTTTAGTGGGCACAGTCCGTTGCCAAGTTCATGCATATCCCATATAAATAGATGTATAGAAGACACACACACACACACACACACACACACACACAGACACACATATGCATATATGTATGCTTGTATGTATGTGTACCTGCTGCAACCTTCGCTGCCTCTCCACTAGCTCCCAGCCCCGTGCTTAAACGTCCTCTACGCAAACATTACCTACAACACATATCCTTGGAGACGAACGTGGGCGACAACAGATCCAAACAGCCAACACGAGAAACAAGAAACAAAAACAAAAACTGTTGCAATTATTATTATATAAATTTATACAATATATATATACAACATATATATATATATATATATATCTGCATATATATGTATACACTACGTACACTAAGATAAGGCGGCGCCCGATCGGTTCTAAGCTGAAGCGCCTCCGGCATATTCCGGCCGAAAGAAAAGCCAGCGAATCTCTAAATTTGTAAGCGCCCCGGACAAAAACCAATTTTAAGAGGAGTCCAATATTGAGGCACTGGTGTCACACACACACACACACACACACATATTTAAACAAAACTTGATAAAACGAAACTTTTTTTAAGCCATTTTTTGCGCCAAACTGCAAAAAAAAATATATGAATAAAACATTTTTAAATGAATTTTGTAAAAAGGCATAGAGTATATTTTCTGAACGCTAAATGACAATATTAACTAAAGCAAAAACCAACGCGACGATATGTTTAAATGTATGTATGTATGTGAAATGTGTATTTGTTTAAACAAAAGCAAAGCATCAATTATAAGCAAAACAAAAACTAAGCCACAAAAAAAACAAAGAAAACAATATATTAAAATTCTTCAAGCGAAAAATTTATATTTTTCTAAAAAAAAAAATAAAAGTGCAAAAAAAAGTCCAGCTTAATTATAAATCGAAAAAAAAAACATTATTGAAATGAAAAAAAATAAATAAATAAATAAAAACAATTATTGTGCTAGCAAAGTTTTGAAACGAAAAGTACGTAGTTAAACAATGCTTATAATTTAAAATATATACTATATACATATTTGATATACATATGTATGTATGTGTCTTTATTTAACAACACACACACACACATCAGAAATTAAGTAATTTTTGTCTGTGCTACATTTGCATTTCTCTTCTGTGGTTAAGTTTTATTATGCATTAACATTCCAAGACATTCCAATCGTAACTCCCATGATCCAAGCCTCTCTAAAATTTCGGTCTTTAAATTTACTTATTGTATTTTATTTTACTTTACTGTTTCATTTCATTTTGTTTTGTAGAAGAAAAAAAAGCGAAGCTTTGTTTGCGTGTGTAATTCCCATTTATCGTTTATATATATATTACTTTATTTTATATTTCTTATTTTTTCCACTTTTTATTTTAATAATATCATAACTTGTAATCGAAATGAATATTGAATTTTTTTTTTTTTTTTCGTCTGCAATCGATCGAAAGTTTTGTAAATCGTGCAAATCTGTGCTTCCTTTCAGTTAAGCGTGTTTTTATAGCATAAATTTTTAGTGAAAGATGATGAATGAAACTAAATATGTATGTATGTATGTATATGTACGCTTTTCCAACCAAGTTGACGTCTGGCATTTGCCTAGTGGGCAACAACCTGGCTGGCCTTACATCTATATAAATATCTGCATATACATATATGTATGTATATATATATATTTATATATATGTATGTATATGTGTATATGTATTTGTATACCCATATCTATATACTATGACGATGATATTGTGAAAATATATAAAGAAGAGAGAGAGAAAGAGAGAGAGAGAGTATGTATGTATATTTAATGTCAAGTGAAAAAGAAAACTATTTGTTAAAAGAAATTAATTTTTTTTTATTATACAAAAAGAAAAACTAAAGAAAAAAAAAACTAAAAGAAAAAACAATAAAAGAAAAATGTAAAAAAAAAAAAAAAACACACAATCGACTTGTTTCATTTTGTTGTTTGTTTATTGTTTGTGCAAATAAATAAATTGATATAATTATTTGTGCTAAATGCTAAGGGCCTAAACATAGGGGACAATCCGCTCGATCGCGACGCAACGTACAATAAAAGCATACAGCATATAAAAGTGTGACTGTCTTAGGTCTAACTAACGTTATGATCATAGAGCAATATGCCTGCGTATGTATATTAAATACTATGTGTACAGTATGCATATTTAAGTTAATGTGTTTAGGTATCATTTACTTATGGTTAGACTTTTTAGGAGAATTGCTTAAGTCTTGGTGAGGCAGATGATTATCAGTTTACTTACAATTTAACTCGTTTACGTTTAGTTCTCTATATAAAAAAATTGTTTAAATAATTCCGAACGACTCACACGCACACGCCCATGCACACACCGTCTGTACACTACTACATACATACGTAGTTAGTGAGTGTTCGTGTGCGTGTGCGTGTGCGTGTGCCTGTGTGGGATTGGCTTAGCTGATAAACGTGTGGTGAATGTGGACGGCTAGCTAATCACTCGTCTTGAGGCGCTTCACCGGCCCATCGCTGCCCTGTGAGTTGGAGTCCTCGGAGAAGGGCATGCTGGACACGAAGTCAGCTCCCTGACTGTCGCTCACCACTGAGAAGCCTGCACGAATAGAAACACAAATTTAGTAATGTTGCAACGGAAGTGCGAACCAATCACGAATCCTGTCTCATTGCACTACACACTCACAAGTATTGGAGTCCTCGGCCGTGAGCCCTGCGTAGCTGGGCGTTATTTGAGGCGGGGTGGGCGTGCCCTTTTGCGAGTTCTCCTTGTCGCTGAGTTTGTTGTTCAGCTGCAGCTTGGACTTCTTCTCGCTGTTGGACGATATGGGCACCCATTTGTAGATCTTCATGGTCGTGTCGCTGATGGTCACCCATTTCTTTTCCCAGTGCCGCACCTTGTCGACGGCCTGCATGACGCGCTTGATGTCATCCTTGGCCCGGCTGCGTGTCTCGGCGCGCACACTACGTGACATGTTGTCTGGAATCTGGGAGCAGGGCAGGGAGATGGCGTCTGAGAGGCGACGGCGGTGCTGCTGGCGATACAATTCAGTCTGCAATGCGAGGAAGCTTTAGGCGCGCTGTGGCTTAACTTGCGAAACGTTTCGCTCCACTGATCTCCTTCAATGTGTCAATATATGCTCCTGTTCTCAATATTTGCAAAAAAAAAAAACTTTTTTTAGGTCTGAATTAAAGCGAGGGGCGAAAATACATTTACCGACTAGTGTTGAGAAGTTCGCGTTTCACTTGGTATGTTGATAAATATTGAAAAATGCCTATATACCGATAGGCAAAGATAAGGTCACTCTTGATTTTGAACGATAGTTAACTTGTTTGTATATTTCTACTTTTGGCTTTGTAAGCTCACAATATTAATTTTCTTCATACAAATTATATAGAAAATTATGCTTAAATGTTCCATTATTACTAAATTTATATATCGATATTACAGAACAACGATACTTATAATAAAGTAGCACCACTGACCAAACAGTCAGTGATAGCACTCAGCTTCTGCACGTGTGCAAAATCAAATTAAACGATATATACAAGAATAAAACGATACTTTAATAACTTTACAAAACGCAATTGAATTATTCATCAAATTTTGAAGTTCTTTAATAAAAAGTAAGACTGCAACTATTTGTTAGTTTTCATATGCTCTTTTTGTAAATAGCTATCGATATATTCCCTTCGAGAAAACCACCCAATCTGAATGCAACATTTCAATAGTCAATGTATTCAGTAGATAAGTTTATTAATTAAACAAAAAACTTAATCATATTTTCTGTTAATGTACGGATTTAAAATTCATATTAATCGACAGTAATTTGGTTGATGTTTTCTGTTATCACCTATCGCCAACTATGTAAACAGTGCTATAAAATGATAATATATCGATAGAATAACAGACTGACAAAATTAGTCGAACATGCTTGGGCTTGTTCTGACACTAACATTTCCTTAACAGAATCCAATTTTTTTCGACAGACGACGGGCGAGGAAATTATGCGCAGCGCGTTGTTGTGGTTATTTTTTTTATTTATTTTTTCGTAAATATATATATACCCAAAAGTGCATAATTGGAATGAAAGGCAAACATAAAGTGTTCCATTCACAAGTGTATGTGCATTTGGCATTAACTTTCCTCTGAAAGTTGAGCGCACGATATTGCAGGCAACGCCATCATCGTCGTCGTCGTCGTCGTTTGTGTGTGGAGCGGTGTGCTGTGCTTAGGAACGGAGCGTGAGAGAGAAAGAGAGAGAAGAGAAGCGGACAAACGGCAAGGAATATCGCAAAAAAAAAAGTTGCAGCAAAAGCAACAACGTGCGTGCGTGTGTGTGTGTAGAAAGAAAAGCATTAAAAAGCCAGAATAAGAGGAACCACATTGGCAGCAGGAGAAAAAACGAAACGAAAGAGCGCAAGGTGGGAACTAAGAACAACGAACGACAGCTAAACGGGTGACAGGCGCGACAAGAAAGACAAGAAAAACAGGAGTACAAATATACTAAAAGGGCGAAGACAGCAGCAAAGCAACAACAACAGCACCAAGACCAACAACAACAGCAACAGTAGCAGCGATAAAATGTTAACCAGCGCCAAGAACAAACAATTCAAATAGTGTTCATTTGGATAGAGCAAAAAAAAAAAAAAAAATCGCATTTGCCGCTTGTGTAAATGTGTATGCATGTGTGCGTGTGCGTTTGGGTGTAGGTGCTTGTGTGTCTGTGTGTGGCTGTGACAATGTGTTTTTATAACAGCGCCTAATTCGCAAGCAACAACAACAAACGCTAGCAAAATTATATCAGTGAGAATCCGAAGCTGGAAAATCAACAACAACAACAGTAGCAGCAGCAGCGGCGGCAAGAACAACAACAACTACCAGCATTCGCTCGCTCGATCCCATTTCACGCGTCGCCTCACCTCGTCTCGCCTTGCCGTCTCTTATGTTGTTTTCTGTCTGTCACACTTGCAGTTCCATACGATCCGGCATCGCTACGTCATCGTCATCGAACTATCAAGCTATCGGCCATCATCCACATAATCAGCACAGGTTCCACACCGGCCATATCCACTGACGTTGCACCAGCAACAGAAGCAACACAAACAACAATAACAACACCAAAAACAATAACAGCTACACAATGCCCAAATGCGATGTGAAAACCCGTTACATTCCGGCGACTTTCGCATGGATTGTGCTGCTACTTACAACATTTCTCTTCTTCTTCTATCCGTAAGTATCCAAAACAACATACTCAAATCAAATAAAATAAGTTTCACTTAAATATTTTTCATTAGGATTTTACATTAGGCTAGTAACTAATTATTATAACAGTTCTATAATAGGCAAACTTTTATTCCCAGCTCTTAAATTTCCTCTTTCCATCAGAAAATTTCGAAAAATTATTGCTTTCCTGAATAATAGGTAGGGAAATTGTTGTTCCCAGATGTTCTGTTTCCTCTTTACCTCATATAGACCATAAAACTAATCCAAAAATTGTTTCATATTCAGATGACCCGAATTCGTAAAAGGACATAAATAAACTTATAAATATTTTAATATGATTCATGGAGAATAATAGAAATTTATAGATTCCGTCTAATAGTTCAATATGGAACAGGCTCTGAGTCGCTTTACTTGTTTTGCTTAGCAAAGTACTTTTTATACCCTGCACTGATGTGCTGAGTAAAGGGGTTTTTAGTTCTTAAGGCGAAGTTATGCTGAACTATAGAAGACTTCCTTTGGCAGAAATACTCACTTATATCAGTCTAGAACAAGATTTTCCTTTTCAAATAAAATATGGAATAAGGGAAATAATAATAATAATATGTTTAGCATTGTGTGAGCAGTACAGGGTATTCTTTAGGCCAAACCTTCTAAGCTAACTGGGCCGGGTCGCCATTTATTATCCGTTATTTACTTTGCGCTCATTTTCGTGGATTATAACGAAGCTGCATCAGGACTTTTACTAGCGCACAGTGCAGCTTTTTCCTCAATCCCGTTTTCTTCATTTTTTTTCCTCCTTTTTTCGCAATAGTTTTTCACAGAGTAAGTGGATTTTACTGTGGGTGGAGCACGAAAAACGAAGACTTGCGGAATTGCATAATTTGTTTAGTTGACAAGTTTGCATAGTCCATTTGGCATAGCCAGTGAGTGTGCGTCACTGGATCCTCCCAGAAACTTTGATGTATGTTCTTAATTTCCGCTGAATCGATTAAGTTATTATCTTAAAAAGGGGCGGAACAGCAAGAAGGGCGAGATGAGTCGATCTAGGCGAACAATCTCTTCAGGCTTTATACTTCAAAAATATATTTTTGCATAATACATATTTGTTTTTTTATCTCTCGATAACGAACACTCTATTTTTATCGATATAAATCGATATTCAATCTAACCAAAGACTTAAGAATTTAAATTTCAAATATGTATTCTTGTATGACATATTTATCTCTCAATAACTTATCCTCTTTTTTGTAGATATAAATGCAGATATCTATGCTGTACACCCAAAATATCTGTTTCACATAGTAGAGAATTGTAATTATTAGACTCTGAAAATCTTATCTTATCAAATTTTTCAATAACTGATCTACCGTAATTTCCAAGCCCAAGCTAAGCAGTCTGACTCCCCAACAAATATATCTCAAATGTCTTTCATACCAATTCGGAATCCATATAGACATTTTAAAATCAACTTTGCAATTGTTTTTTATTTTTTATTTTTGATTATCGATTTCACCTCGCTTGTTGGCTCAGCTCGCAGTTGATTTATTTATTTATATACAGCTTGATTGTTTTTATTTTCCGGTTCTTATTTAATTGTCGTTTGTTTACATATGTGGCGTCATATGATATGTCGCGGATCACCCTATATGGATGGTATGGCTGGCACAGCTATGCGAGACCCTTAAGACTTCGAATTCGCTTGGTTTTAGGTTTGATATTATTTCGTTTATTATTAGAGCACCATTGGGACGTATGGACCTATGGGACCTATAGAACCTCTGGGACTTTCTGTGGTTGCAGGAAGCGCAGGGCGTAGAGGAAAGTGTGCTGGAATCATAATGGCCGAGGGCAATACGTTGCTTTGAGGGCAACTGGTCGACTTGTGGTTTTTGTTGGGCACGCGAATGCCACAGGTTGTGTGGCCGTTGTTCAACATAACCAGACTGCACCCCTGCCCGACTTTCAGATACTCTATAAACAGCTTTTGATACTGTTAAACTGATTAAAAGTATCTCTAGATTAACTTTTGTTCAGCTCAAATCGAATTTCCCTTTTAGAGATCAAAATAAAAGTGTTTGCACTTCAATAACAATGAAATAATTAGTACAGGGTATCAGGAAATCATCAGATAAACTCATAACGCGACCCGAAAAATTGAAAAAATCAACAAAACTAAATGCGCAAAGCACGCGAAATTTGCGAGTAGCGCAACTAAAACAATAAAAAATGAAAACAGAGCAGCAGCAGCTAACACAAATATATAATAATAATATGTACATGTATATGTGTGTGTGTGTGTGTGTGTGTGTGTGTGTGTGTGTATGTATGTGGGGGTATTAATATATATCCACACACATGTTTGTTGTTGGGGTAGGGGAGCGCACCGATAGCAGCGACAGCAAGAAGAACCATTAAAGTGCGTCATTTTAACAATCGGCTTGCGCGTTCCTCCGCCGGCCCCACTGCACGCCCAGTCGCCATTTCCCACCCAAATGGTCACACCATTTGTTTTACCTTCGCTCAACGCCCCTACCCCTGCCATCGCCGCTACCACCAGCCCCACCCTCAACATTGTGCGCCAGGCAACCGTTGATATTGTAAAAAAAAAAAAACGCCGTTGAGCGATTTACCTTGCAACGGTGTCGAATTTTCCACCAGTTGCCCAAAGCGTGTTCACACACATTCAAACAAACACACACACACACACTCATAGACGCAGACACGCAGTTTATTGTTGCTATCTATTTGATAATTCCAGGCGAGGCAACAATTCGCTGACAAAAACAAATTTAAACTTTCTCAATTCAAGGTTTAAATACAGTTGTAAGGCAACTATATATGTATGTATATAGCCATATATATACTGAATAATAAGTTCCATCTAAACTGTAAACAAATAATATTTATGCAGAAATTTGTGTATTTCTATGTAAGTTGAGATTGTATCCGAAAGTAATAAAACTGTAATTAATTTATATTTGATTCCCAAGAATTTCTCCACTTATTTGCCACAACTTTGGGCAGTCTAGCCAAGTATTAATTTACTCGGTCCTGTGATATGCGTGCTTATCACGAAAGTTCGTAACAGATGGTCAATGCGATCAATACAGTGAATCAACGAAACAGTATAAAAAGCTATGCTAAGAGTATGTATGATTCAACTACTCAATCATTGATTCTATATTTGGGATATACTATATACATACATGTGTAACCTTCCAGAAGTGGCCCCAACTTTTGATCTCTCTCCTCTCATCAGCTATCGGTGCCAGAAGTGGAGCGCGTTTTGCATTCCCTAGTTTTATATCCTGAGTATAATAATAGAGTAGAATATAATAACAACTACAACTAATGATAAAGGCAAGGAATTCTTCGATTTAATTTAGTAATAAATATAATAATGAACTTGCCGAGTTCAAGCAGTCGAAGCAAATTGACGATATATGCAGCTGCGGTCATAAAATTTTTTGTGTGACTGAGCACTAAATGTTATACAAAAGCCTTAGATATAATCTCAATATTTTGAAAACAATTTGAAGCGAATATTCAGATTAACATATATTGTTATTCATCTAGATGTTCATATTCAGCTTTGCACTCTCACTCGCATTGCTTTTCATCCAATATTTAGGGCTCAGTCGCATTATTACTTATATATATATATATATATATATATATATATATATATATATATATATATATATATATATACTTCTATCATCAGTCGGGTCGCTCTGAGCTGCATTTACCGCTTACTTCGTACTGTTTGAAACAGCATTCTCAAGGTGGAATAGAACATTATCCGACTCATGGAGTCGTTCTACAATATGTGCTCTAGAAGAGTCGGTTTCTCAGTGTCCTTCGACTTTTCGTAGACTGAGCTCATTCTGAGCTTCGTAAGATCCCTGCTTTTTGACAGATCAGATCCTTTTTATGTCAGAAATGTGATGCATGCAAGTAGATTCGTCATATTTCTCATATTCTGAAGGTTATTTCCCCAGGCAACTAAAATTAAAAGTGACAAAAAAAAAAAAAACAACAGAGAGAAGGCAGTCCCGTCCTACTCTCCAAAATACATATTTATTCGTAAATAAACAATAAATATTATATTTCGCTGGACGAGTAAATTGCACAATTTAACTGATTTTCGCGAATTGCTTTGTTTATTGAGCAGCTTTGGCACGAAATAAAATTAAATTTAAATGAATTGTAGCCAGTTTCAAAGTAACTATAATTAAATAAATACCCTACACAAATAAATTGTAGCATGGGGTATATTGCCACAACGAAGGAATGTGTGAGAATTAAATTAAAACTCAAACTTAAATCACAACGGGGCTTAGGTAGTTGGTCTGGAATATTTATACATTTTCCAGAAGGCTTTATCACCCACCTGTGGCAATAGGCGGAGCAAAATAGCTTGAAATCCTTATCAGCAAATAGGTAAAACTATCTGACTATGACATAAAAACATTTACTATTATCGAAAATAGATGAGATATCGAGAGGACAGAATGGAAAACATAGAATAGAGTATACATAGGATAGACTATTAATTTTGTTATCCTTATCATGTATTCTTAATACAGCACCTGTCAGGTGAATAGGTTCGCTATTTTTGAAAGCTTTAACGAACATTATGATTTGTTTATATGAAATAATAATGATTATAAATAAAGAATCTTCCGAAATATGTCATTCAATTTAATTTTTTAAATTACCTTACCAGGTATGGATTCTAAATTCAGTGGCGTGATGCTTGGCTACCAGAAAATTTCAGGTCCCGTCTAGAACATTTTGCAAGCAAAAAAGAAAAATATTACCGAAAACTTGAAATACTCTAATATTCAAAATATTTTGCAAATCAAGACAAGTAGAAAAATTCATGGAAGCAAATCTACTTTTATTAAGATTCAGTTGGCAACGGTCGATTCTTAGAAGATATATACGAAGGCATTAAGTTTCCAGATATAACTATGGGCTGCCTAATAATTACTTACGTATGA